CTGTTCTAAATATTAAGGCCCCTAAACCCTAAACCCTAAACCATTAAGGCCCCTATAGTAGGAGCGCTTAAGGTCATGGCCAGGCTCTTGGGATTAGGGCTCAGGGATCTTGGGGTTAGGATTTAGGGCGCAGGGTATTAGAGTCCCCTAAACCCTGAACCCCTGAACCCCTGAACCCGTAAACCCTAAACCCTAAAGCCCAAACCCGAGAACCCCTAACCCCTAAACCCCTAAACCCTAAAACCCCTAAACCCTGAAGCCAAAAGCCCTAAAACCGTAAAGCCTAAAACCAAAAACCCCTAAACCCTAAAACCCCTAAACCCCTAAACCCTAAAACCAAAAACCCTCAAACCCTACAACCCTAAACCCCTAAAACCCGATAAACCGAAAACCATAAAACCCCTAAACCCTAAACTCTCAAACCCGAAACCCCTAAACCCCTAAAACCCGAAAACCCGAGAAGGTGCCACAGCCGCAGCACTGAGGCCCCTTGCGCGCAGTGCTCGGGAGAACTCCCGGACCGTGAGGGCATTGCTGTTGTCCTGCTGCACTTTTAAGGTTTAGGGTTTAAGGGGTTTTGAGGGTTGTAAAATAGGTGTTGTTAGGGTTTAGGGTTGAGGGTCTAGGGATTTAGGGGTTTTACGGGTTTTCGGGGTTTTGGGGTTTGGGGTTGAGGGTTTTAGGGGTGGGGTTTCGGGTTTAGGGTAGGGTTTTAGGGGTCTTTCGGGGTTTTCTGCTTTAGGGTCTAGGGTCCAGAGTTTTAGGGGTTTTAGGGTTTGGGAGTTAGGGTCTAGGGTTTTCGGGGTTTGGGCGCAGAAAATCGACTGCCAGCCACTGCTAAACCTTCCGAAACCCGAAACCCTAATATGGGGGCCTTAATAGTTAGAATAGGGTTTTGGGGCCCATTATACTACAATTATCATAAGAAACCCTCAAAATAGTATAGGTAATTATTTAGGCCCCTACATTATACCCTTGAACCCTTAACCCTGTATCCAAAACCCAAAACCGTCGTGGGGATTCTTCTGCGGCTCTTGGGAGTCAGAATTAGGGGGACCCTTATGGGATATAGACCCTCTGAATAAGGTTTGAAGACAGTCAGAAGTAGGGTTAAGAAGGGCCCTAAACCCTGAACCCTAAACCCGGAACCCTACCCCTGAACCCTAAACCCTGAATCCTAAAACCTAAACCCTAAATCCTTTGGAATGGTCTCCCTAAGACTACCCCAAACCCTAAACCCTAAACCCTAAACCCCCTACCTAGGAGCTCTCGCCGTGCTTATGCTCCTCGTCTGCTTCTTCGAAGACTTCCTTGCAGACCTGCGCCCCGCAGAAGAGCCCAGGTTCAGGGCTTAGGGCTTCGGGTTTAGGGTTTAGGGTTCAGGGTTCAGGGTCGAGGGTTTAGGGTTGAGGGTTCAGGGTTCAGGGCTTAGGGTTCAAGGTTTAGGGTTCAGAGTTCGGGGTTCAGGGTTTAGGGTTCAAGGTTTAGGTTTTAGAGTTCAGGGTTCTAGGGTTCAGGGTTCTGTTTTTTGCAGTTGGGGTACTCTTTTGAGTCTGCCCGAGGTATGCCCACAACAAGTGCAGTGTGCATTAGCACATACTCCACACAAACGAAACACAAAGCGCCCCACTCACCTCGGGTACATGTCGCCGCCCATAGAGTAGAAGCCAGAAAGTTGGAACAGATGTCATCACTATCCTCATGCCCTCAAGGTAAAATGGCGGGAATCCCAGCACTATTAATAGTCCTAAACCCATGTTCCAACTTTCTGGGGCTCACTGTAATCATGTAGGGTTTAGGGTTCAGGATACTGGGTTTTGGGTTTGGGGGCACAGCAGCGCTGGGATTCTGTCTCCCGCAGCTCCCTGTTCTGGGATAAGTAAGAGAGGATACGGACTAGAAGGACCACTATCAAGGAGCCGTGCATCTTAGGGTTTAGGGTTTAGGGTTTAGGGTTTAGGGTTTAGGGTTTAGGGTTTAGATCAACCGTGCAACGGACCTCTCGATTTCCTCCATGAGGACGACAGGCACGAACTTGATACAACATCTCTTGTGGGTCGGACTCAGAATCCAGAACCCCATGCACAACACGCCCCCAAAACCTCAACCGTAGAAGCCCTAAAGCCAAGAAACCAGGAAACCCTGAACCCTAGAAACCCTACACACCCTAAACCCTAAACCCTGGAAACCTTGAACCCTAAACCCTACAGAAACCTCGAACCCGGAACCCTAAACCCTCGAACCTTACGGACCCTTGACAGAACCCTTCGACGAACCCTCAAAAGGCATCCTGCAAGGACGAATCCCCAAGCCCGTAACCTCTCAAAACCCCAAAACCAATCCCTAAGGGAAACCCTTATGAAGGAACCTTTCAACGAACCCCTAAGGGAACCCCGAAAGGAACCTTTCAAGACGAACCCGTAAGCAGCATCCTTCAAAGAACCCTAGACCCTAAACCCTCAACCCTGAACCCTAAACCCTGAACCCTGAACCCTAAACCCTAAACCCTGAACCCTAAACCCTAAACCCTAAACCCTAAACCCTGCCTTGCGGATAGTTTTGTGTGTCAGCTGCAGCTCCATGTTCCGCCGGTTTCGCTCCGGCCTCAAGCTTTACGGGTTCCTCTAAGGGTTCCTTTAAAGGGTTCCTTTAAAGGGTTCCTTTAAAGGGTTCCTTTAAGGGTTTCTTTCTCTTGGGCTCCTTTGAAGGGCTCTATAAAACGATCTACAGAGGTTTGAGGGGGTGCTTTGATCTTGGGCAGTGACCCCAACACTAGCAGTCTATAACAGGGCTACTATTCAGGGCCGAAAAAATCCATGTGGAAAATAGTCTTCAACTGTTACTGAGTGGGGGGCGGTATTTTGATCCTTAAAGGTTAGGGCTTTGAGGTCTAAGAGGTTTGACGGCGCGGGGTGTTCAGGTTTAGGGTTTGACGGTCTCGGTTTTTCAGGTTCAGGGTCTTTAGATTTCAGGGTTTAGCGCGCTAGCATTAACAATGCTCATGCGAGCAGTATAGAAGAAGAAAACAACAATGATGATAACGAGAATTTAAAAAATGAGAATGATTGGCAAAAATGATGAGGCGACTGTAAAAGTCATAGGAATATGAAGAACACACATCGCCACAATATGAATACGAATGAGAATTTACACAGAGTACTGATACGATTCGGCACCATAGTATCAGCACCAACAACAACAATGATAGCGAAACTAACGAAACACCGAGCAGTGCAAGCACACAATCGGATCTGGCGCGCCTCTGCTCCAGAACAACAGGCTGCAGCTGGTCCAAAAGAAACTCCTCCAAGACCGATGATTTCGGTAGGATAACGGGTAATCATGTAGTTCATTACATGTATATTTGTTCGTATGTGCATATATTATATATATATATATATA